AAAATAAGTAGACAGACACCTTATGGTGGCGGCAGCAGCAGCAGCGGTAGCAGCAGCAGCAGCAGCGGTAGCAGCAGCAGCAGCAGCAGCAGCAGCAGCAGCAGCAGCAGCAGCAGCAGCAGCAGCAGCAGCAGCAGCAGCAGCAGCAGCAGCAGCAGCAGCAGCAGCAGCAGCAGCAGCAGCAGCAGCAGCAGCAGCAGCAGCAGCAGCAGCAGCCATAAGTCCTGGAAGAAAAACACTGCTCTCACACTCAGAAGGGAAAAAACAAATAAAAAGGCATAAAACTCAGAAGAAGACTGACGGACATGGTTTCGTTGTTGCGGATGATCTTGATGGCCACCTCCCTGCGCGCCTCCTTGAGGTCCCATGCCTTGAGCACCGTGGAGAACACCCCCCTGCCCTGCGTTGCTGCTATCTCGTACCGCCCGTCCAGCACCTCCCCCACGCGCGACACTGTTGTGTTCCAAGGGAGGGAAGAGGGAAGAGGCGGTAGGGTGCGGCCAAGGGGGGGGAGAGGGAGGGGGGGGGGGCGAGTAAAGTTGGTTTAGATGGCACACAAACTGAAGCAGAAGTTGGACGTGGACTCGCTAATTCACAAGGGTGTGATTGAACAAGTTACAACTTGAGAATTTTTCAAACTTACACGCTACAAAATTCCAAGACTACTGAGAGTCTGAGTGTATGGGAGTCCAGGGAGCTTACAGTAATAGCCTTCCACGTCGTCCCAGTTGTCGTTCAGACCAAACTCCTTTGCTGCACCGTCAAACTTGCCCTGATGGGATTGCATGCAGCAGGCAGACAGGCAGGCAGCATGTGCAAAGAGGGCATGGCATCGCACCAAGGATTGGTCAATAAATCAAAGCGTGGGCTTTGAATGAGAAGCGAGAAGGAATGGGGGCGTTGGTGCTTGTAATTACGGGGCAAGAATACCAAGAGCGGTATGAAGGAAAGCAGCGACTAAAGCGAGCGTGAGAAAGAGAGGGTGGGGGGAGTGGGGCGGGGAAGGGAGGGTTGAGGGTTAGGTGACGGGGGTGGGAAGGGAGATTTGAACAATAAAAAGAGGGAGAGGCACAGGAAGAAGCACTAGGGGATGTGCCATAAAAACGTGAGCAGGGGGCATGCTTGGTGTTCACTCATGTACCATCACGACTATGGGCGAGTAGCACGTGGTGCCCAGGGGCAAAGGGCGAGGCATCAGCATCAGCATCAGCAGCAGCAGCAGCAGCAGCAGCAGCCATTGCTATGCACCGCAGGAATACCGCAAGAAGCTGGAAAAACCAGGTGGAACACAGACTTGATAGTAGAGGGGTCAAGGGCGGGAACGAACGAGCGATGCGAGAGGTCAACAATGGAGAAGCATATGCAGGCAGATAATGCGCACGGGTGATGGATGCGCGGTATTACGAGGGCCCTTAAATCTTGGCGCATTACATGGATGACGCAAGACCTAAGGGACTCAAAGACATGGTGGGAGAAAGGAGGGACGGAGGGAGGAAGGGAGGGAAAGAGGGAGAGAGGGGACGAGGGTGGAAGAAAATGGATTTGAGAAAGCCTTACCAGTTTCCTTCCAGCTGCGGGGGATTCACCGAACATGTCATCTGCGAACATGTCAGTGCCGCCATCACCCTGCCATGACGCATGGATAGCAGGAAGACAAACGTCAACAAACAAAAACACATAACAATCAACACCGGAAAACAAACAAAAAATGCACAGATGATGAAAAAACAAAAACAAATACAAAAACAAAAAAGAGCCAACTCGCGCCCACCTAATCAGGCACAGGCCAAAGCAAAGCACCCGCACGACCCACAAACACACGACCGATCAAACGATTTGTTGCTGACCTTGGGAGGTGATGCGGCCGCAGAGGAAGATAAGGGCTTGGCGACGTCGCCAGAGAAGACAGGGAAGATGGCATGGTTGGCGGTCTTGGGCGCATGAGCATGTGCATCTGTCTGGCCAAGAGAGGCAGCAGCAGTAGGGACAGTGCCATTACCAGTGGCAGCAACAGCATCAGCATCAGCATCAGCGGGGGTGGAGGAAGAATGCAGGGCCGTGGAAAGTGCACCATTGGCCAAGCCAAACCTCTGGTCGCCCTTGGACGGAGATGCGCCATCCTTGGAGCTTGCAGCCGCGGGTTTATCTGCCAGCCACGGGAACGACGAGAGCAGGAAAGAGAAAGAGAGAGAGAGAGAGAGAGAGAGAGAGAGAGAGAGAGAGAGAGAGAGAGAGAGAGAGAGAGAGAGAGAGAGAGAGAGAGAGAGAGAGAGAGAGAGAGCTCGTTAAGTGTCGAACAGGCACAAAGGAGGAAAAAAAGAAAGAAAGAAAACGGAACGAAACGAAACGGCAGTGACAGGAAACCCAGGACTCCGCACACAAATTTCCACAAGACAGACAACCAGCCACCCACGCATGCACGCACTCACGCACCCACGAACGCACGCCCACTTCCCCTTCATCCTCCCTCTCTCCTTCCCCGACATACACACACTCCGCCCCCTTCCACGCTCGGCAGCACCCACCTGCTTGCTTCGCGTCGGCTTTCTGTGCCTTGAACTTCTCGAGAATCGCCTGGCGGCGCCGGCGACTCTCCTCCAGCACCTTATCCACGTCGTTCTCCTCCTCGCCGATCTTGATCTCTATATCCGCGTCTAGCTCCACGTCTTCCTCCTCCTCCTCCTCCGACCTGCGTGCAGCCGCCATCGACGCACACGACGCGAACATGGCACATGGGTGTGAGAAAGGACCAGAGAAAGAAAGAAAGAGAAAAACGAGAACGAGAAGGAGCGAATCACAAGAGGACGAAACTGCGGTGAGGAGACGGGGAAGGTCACTGACCGTTGCTCGGATCGCCGGTGCTCTGACTGCTTGTCCTTATCCCGGTTCCTCTCACTCCTCTCCCTGTCGTCGCTCCGTCGATGCCGGTCGTTGTCTCGTAGGCGCCCGTGCTCATCCCGCCGGCTCCTATGCTTCGAATCCCTATCTCGATCGTGTCGATCTGCGGACCCATGCCGCACTCCTCTCTCTCTGCTCCTGTCCCTGCTTCGCTCCCTCCCTCGCTCCCTGCTCCTGTCTCTGACTCTATCGCGGCTCCGATCTCTGCTTCTATCTCGCGACCGGTGACGCCGCGATGCACGGTCTGGGCTTTTGGACCTCGATCGTACTCGCCGCGACGAGTCGCGGTCGCGGTCGCGGTATCTGTCCGCTTCCCGGTCTCGGTCGACGTTGCGATCGTATCCCCTCTCGCGCGAGCGAGATCGATCTTGATCTCGTCTCCTCTTGTCGCCACGGGCTGACGATCTGAATGGACCAAGTTGGTTGGGAAAGGGCGAGGACAGGAACGAGAGAAACAGCGAGCGGGAAAATGAAGGAAAGCGCAACACGCACAGCCAAGACGCCTCTACGTAGTATTGTGACCTGGAAATTCCAGAAAAGCATTAACAAGTTGTTGAACCGATAGGGCAAGTTGGAATTCGCCAAATTCGTTATATTACCTTCCGTTCAGCTCGATTGCCGCTTCGGCCATTGGCGCTCTGCACTTAATCGATCTGTCGCTTCCACCGCACGGTAATTAACACAAAAAAGTGGAACCGGAAAGCGAGGAGATTTCCAAAACCTACCGAGATGAGGAAACGGTCTTCGTAATCTAACGTAAAAGGTACAGGCAGCACGGCACCCCAAACTGCTGTGCAGATCTGAAGGCGCTGGGAACCCTAACCGCAGGCAGAAAAGGCTCAGAACCAATAGTTCGCTTGGCTGTTCCTATTCCTTGGTGTGGTGTGGTGTGGTGTGCTGGGGTGCGCTGCGCTGGGGGGGGAATCGCAAGGAATAGGTTTTGTTCAGCTTTGCTGCGGTGCGCTGTTCTGGGGGGGAAATCGCAACCAAAGTGAAGGCTGCGTTCTGTTGGCGCATAGCCGAGGAGCTTGCGTGACAAGGCTTAGGGCCGGAGGGATTCGTTAGTGTGACCAGAACCTACGCCGCGGAAGTTGTGGGCGCATTACTTGTGCGTGCGGAAAAACGCTGTACCGCCTTTGCGCTCGGTATATTCCAGGACCTTGCGTTCACAGGCAAACGTCCCGCACAGCCTGTGCGAGTCCCATCCGCTCGTCTCCCAGCGTTAAAGCCAGGGTCTCATGTAAGCTAAGTAGCCATCGACTGCAAAGCACTTGAAGCTAGGTAACCAAGTTAGTGCTGACGAAGTTGTCTCTGGTTGGGTTGGAAACTCAGCTCGCGTCACTGCCCCAAAAGCACTTTTGGGTACTTGAAACTTTCGATGAGTTTGGATCCAAACCAAGTTTCCAAGCCTACATGGTTCGGTTACCCCCAGCGCTTCGCACCCCTCGCTTCACCCCACTTCGAACCTTTCACCTCGCCAACCAATCAAAGCCACACTTTCACCATCAATTACAATGCACTTGTAGTACGTAAGACCCTGGCTTTAAAGGGGCGCACAAGCTGTGCGGGGCAGCTAAAAACGCCCGGGAAAAGTACGACTTTGGCTATTTTCTGAACCCAACGGTTACCACCCACAAGACGGGAATATATTGCAGGGTCATGAGAGCCACATCCTGCCTCACACATTCCACTACCATTCCAGCCAAAAAAGTTCACCCTAGGTCAGCGCTGTTGCTCTTCAAAATTTTGGGCTTGCCCTTGTGTAAACACCCTGGTGCCTGCCCCGCAGATACCTCGCGCCTGGGTCATAACTTCGTGGTAGTTTTGGGAGGTGCTCTCCTGCGCGGAAGCCTCCGAGCGCACAACTTGTGCGTCGTGCGCGCATAAATAATGCGCCAACAAAACGCAGCCGAAGCTTCAAACAGCTACAACACGTATACTGTATGGCAGAGTTTGCCAGCAACTTTGAAAATAGATGGCATTTTGACGGCATCGGAATGGTGATCGCATCAGGAACCGGGGGCGGAACTCGCCCAAGAGGTCAGGATGTAATGCCACCCGCGAAACTTCGATTCTTAGAACGGGAAAATTCGCAACCGCATATGAAACCCCCAGCCCCACCTTCCAGAGGTTCGCCTCTGCTCTGCAATGCCACAGCCATGCCATCGCCCATTCACCTTGGAAGGGTGAATGGCGATGGCATCGCAGGGGGATTGTTTTTGCCAGGGGAGGAAACTACGACCCCGTTTCCATATGCGGTCATGCATTTCGAAGTGGGTGAAAATTGGTTCAGACGGCATAAGAGGCTCGGCAGCATTTTTACGGGCTGACCGGCTGACGGAGGTTAGCGAACCCTGACTGACGGGATCAGGAAGGCGAGACTGACCTTCCTGATCCCGTCGTTCCCCTCGTTTTTGCTGCGAAATGTGCTGGCGAACACCGCCTGTATGTTGGAGGAACAGGTGAAGTAGTGCCGCGTGGTCTGGAAGGAGGGGAGGGGAGGGAGGGGGGAGAGGGGAAGAAAGGGGGAAGAAAGAGGGAGAGGGGAAGGGAGGGAGGAGGGTATGCGGTGCGGAGAGGAGTGGGGGAAAGCCCTCTAGCGCGTGCCTCGCTTGCTCGGCGGCAGGGGATTGCCTTGGGATTGCCTGCTCGGCGGGGGTGAAGTTTGTTGCTGGTTCGTTCCACGCCGATATGAGCACCCGAACAGGGTAGCCACGTAAATTATGGAGTTCGGCAATCTCGATATTGTTAGCGCTTTCTCGACTTTCACGACGGAAGGAGTTCGCAAAATCCGGGTTACATTCAACAAGTGAGCTTTTTTGGGGGACCTGATGTTCCAGCTTCCAAGGGCAGGAATACCCGATACACGGTGCTCCGCCGTGAAATATTTAGAGGTAGCTAGTTCGTATATTCATACCGCAAATCACAGCAATTTCAATAATGGCTCCCCACCCCGTCTCTTCCACCCTCCCCTCGAGCTCTTTCTCGGCTCGCCCCAGCCATTCTTCGACATCTGCTTCCATCGCCCTTGTCCTAACCCGCTGCCGCCATCGGAGCGTGGTTAGGCTCACTCAAAGCTCGCCCATTTGGCTGGCCTCGAATCAGCATCTTCTCGCTTTTCCACCCCGTCGTTTTCTCTCTTCACGACGCTCGTGTACTTTGATCAGCTCGCCAAACCGGTCATGCCTTTCTAGGTGAATCGCATCCGTCCATCCACGCCCGAGAATGCGCTAGCATCGTCCTCTCGATCTCATCTCCCTCTATCCGTGCCCTGCTATTCGCCGCTCTGTCCCACATTCGTGGATCTGAATCAATCGTTGAATCCGCAATATAACCGACAGTAATAACAGCATAGTCACCTATATGACCATGGCAGCTCGATTCCTCTCCCGACGCTCCACCTCCACCCTCAAATCCCTCGCCAACACACCCGCCGCGATCCCCGCCGTCGCCGCAACGGCAGGCACCACAGTCACCTCGACCGTTAGGCCAAGCCGAGCCCATGCGGAGTCTTTCTTTTCTCGTGGCGTTTCCACCAGCACCCGACCGATCAGCAGCAGCGACAGCAGCAACAACAGCGGCACCAGCAACAGCGGCGCCAGCACGGGCATAAACGCATGTGCCAGCAGCATCAGCAGCATCGACAACAGCAGTAGCAGCAGCAGCAGCGGCGGCGGCGGCGGCGGCGGCGGTGGCGGCAGCAGCACATCGGTCCACCCCGTTAGTTTTTCCCATCACGAGGTCCCCTCATCCCCCAGGGACGCGCTTCCGCTCGCTCCCCCGCCTCTCACCCCCTCCGCCACTCGCATCCCGCGCGTGGCATCCCCAGCCAATCGCCCCCTCTCCGGAATCTCCGCCGCCTTTCGCTCTCAGCCTCCCACCGCCTACCTCCCGTCGTTGGCCCCGTCCGCTCTCTCTCCTTCCTCTCCTTCCCCAACTTATGCCTCCGCATCCGCCTCTTCCCCGTCTCCTGCCCAATCCGCCGCTAACCGTCCGCCATCAATCCCCCGCTCCGCTCACTCTCCCCGTCCCTCCCCCTCACCTTCCGCCTCCCGCGCTCCCATCCCCGTACCCTCGGCCTTCTCCCCCTCCCACCGTCGCCCCTTCCACTCCGCCTCCTCTCACCTCTCCACCTCCCCGCGCAACGCGCTCCCCGCCTTCTCCAGCGCCGTCGCCGCGGCAGGATCCACCGCCTCCGGCGGCTCCCCGGCCGCCGGCAGCGGCGGCGGCGGCGCTTCGTCGGGCTCACCTCCCGCCGCGTCAAGCGGCGGCGGCTCGGCGCGCGGGTTCGCATCGTCGGCTTCGTGGTGGGGGGGCGGGCAGGGGGAAGAGGAGGAAGGGATGGGGCTAGCGGGGGACGACGATCACGACCCCGCGGTCGCCGCCGCCGCCGCTAGCGCCGACAGCGCCAAGTACGCGCGCGAGCAGGCTCCCGCGTGGCTCCCCCTGGTGCCCGGCGCGGGGTACTGGTACCCGCCCGTCGATCCCGTGACGGGGAAACCGCGGTGGGAAGGGAAGGCGCGGCGCGGGAGCGAGATGTGGATGGCGTCGGTGGCGCTGCAGGGGGAGCGGCTTCCGCTGGACGAGCACGTGGAGATGCAGGCGGTGCGGCTGCTGTGGCAGCTGAGCGTGGGCGACGGGCGCGTGGACGGCAAGAGCAACCTGGAGCGCACCCTCGCGCTCGTTGCGCCCGCTGGCCACCCGGACCTCCTGTACTCGAGTGCGTTGAGGTCACAAGTGCGGGAAGGGAAGGGGAAGGGAAGGGGGATGGAATGGGAGGGGAAGGGGAGGGGAGGGGTAGAAGGGGAAAGGGGCCCCCGTTGGGCACCCGAAAATTTTGTACTCGAGTGCGCTGGGGAAAGGGGGTGTGGAGGGGGGGGGGGGGGGGGGGGGGAAGAGGAGAGGGGACGGGGGCGGATGAAAGGGGAAGGGTGAAAGGGGAGGGGTGGGGGGAATGGGAGGGATGGTGTGTGCGTTTGGGGGGCCTCGGTGGGCAGTGTGTGCGTGGGGCGAAAAGGAGGTTAAGGAGGGAAAGGAGGGGAGGGAAGAGGTGCTTGGTGGTGAGAGTGTTTAAGGGGAGCTAATTAATGGTACTGGGAGGGGAAGAGGGAAGAGGGAGTATTCAGGCTATTCGTTGTTCTGGCCCCTCACCTCATCACCCCTCATCATCCCTCATCACTGTACTTCGCCCCCTGCTTGATATGTCCCCGCACACTCTCCCTCGCAACTCTCCATCCCACCAGGCGTGGCCCATGCAGCGCACCTGGTCGCCCAGAGGGCACCCAACCTGTTCATCAGGCTCGTTTGAGAAAGTCCCAGCCACTCATGTCCTCCCTCCGCTCCCTCCTCCCCCGTTGCTCCCTCTCCTCCCTCGGCTGCTCGCTCCCACCAGCGCTGGGCTATGCAGTGGACTGGGATGTGCAGGGAGCATACAATAGCGTTGGTAGGGAGGCATACGAGGAGGCACACGAGGAGCCTGCTATGGAGGCGGAGAGGCAGGCGGGTCCACAGGAGCACGAGATAGCTGACCCCTCTCTTCCCACGCCTCACACCATCCACGCCCCCTCTGCCCCTGTCGCAACGTGAGTTGATCGCATGCACACCCTGCACCCTGGCCCCTGCTTTCTGGATTATTCCTTTCTTTGCGGTCGTTCCTTTCATTCATTTGTTCTCTTGTTTTTTCTTCTTGTTCTCTTTTTCTTTTCTTTTCTTTTCTTTTATCTTAACTGGAATTATACTGGTGGGTATGTGTGCATGTGCGTGTCCGCATGCACCTGGTTGATGTGCCCACATGCATGCCCTTCCACCCCAACCAGGGACGAGGACCCCATCTCCGGCCCATCAGCGCCAGCACCGCTCTTGGCACACACCAAGCGCACGTATCAGCCCAGCACCATTCGCCGCAAGCGCAAGCACGGCTTCCTCTCTCGGTGCGTGCTGCGTCCAGGTTTGCTCTCCTGCACCTGTTGTTGCTGCAGGACTGGTAACAGTGTTGAACACCCTTCAATCATTTAGATTGTTCGGGTTTAGGGGACCCGGCCCCATCATGTAGGGCGTGCATGGCATGGGTTATTTGCTCTCTAACACGGCCCTCTGCTGCAACAGTGCTTGGACGTGTGCAGATTGAGAACGATGATGCGGCACGTTCTATGCATGGATGCACATGGATAGACGTGTGCTTAGACGTGAGCATGCATGTGGTGAAAGAGTGGGAGCTTGGGAATGAGTGGCGGTCCATTCACTCTGAACAGTGCGCTCCTTGAACGTGCTCGCTTTTGCCCACCTCCCACCACCTCCTCTTCCCCTCTATCCCTCGTACGCAGCAAGAAGAGCCGTGGCGGTCGCAAGGTGTTGGCTCGCCGCATAGCCAAAGGCAGGTCAAGGCTGGCTGCATGAGCCATGAGTCACGGTCACTAACGGTTACTGTAGGAGACCAGGACTGCACATCACTTGCTAGCAGTATGCGCTGCGCTGCAAGGGCAACAACACTGGCTGTGGAGGAGTGAGACATGCGGCAGAAGATTCTGATAGTTCGTGGAATTGTAATCCAGTAGCATCAACACATGCCAAAGCACTCTATTTTGCTTGTAGGTAGATTGTTACATGGGAGAGATGCTCTAAGGCTGTAGGATTCTGCGTTTTAAAGTGCTCTTTACAAGCAGTGTACTACACCTTCAAAAATTCCATGAAAGCATGATTTCAACCTCACTAAGAGAGATTAAACCAACTCATGAGGCTAACTGTAGCAAACAATCCAGGTACTTTACATCAGTACAGCACCATTGACAGATGCACTTACACCCAACATCAATATAACACACCAGCGAAGCTGAAATCTGAAAAGTTTCAACCATGCTGTTCACCCCTTAGCCATAATAAGAAGTCCACTCAAGCTCACACTGTTTCTAGGTATATCTTTCTCACGCTGGTTTGGCGCTTGGAATACGGTATAAGCCTTCCTTGGGCTCTACCCACCCCACACGACATGCCTTCCTTCCCCGCACACCCATCACTCACATTGTTCAAAACAGCATCACATCAAGATAGCAGCACAAGCCACTCCACTGGAAGGGGGAGGGGGCGTCCTGTCACCCCAGCCATTCCCATTCAGCATTACCACCACTCACCATCACCATCACTCAGCAACAGCACCGAGCATGCTCTCTGGTGCATCCATTCCACCACCAAATCGCCTCAAACCATCAACACACTTCGTACATGCCGAATATCCTCACACGCTGCACGCACACATGCCCCCCCTCACGCTGCAGCCCCATCCAGGCTGAACCCTGAATCCTCCAAATCCGAGGGGGAAGCAAGCAGGTCCGAGGGGGAGGAAGGAGAGGAAGGGGTGTCGTCGCAAGGCCAGCCGGCCTCAGCAGCCACAGTGGCAGCGTCGTGCACGAGGCGGCGAGTGAGGCGAGTGAGGGAGAGCATAGCGGAGCGAGCCAGGTCCAAGGCCGCGTCCTTGTCCCTCAGCTGCCTTTCCATGTCATCCACTGCCACTCCCGCTGGTGCCGCAGCCGCCGCCGCTGCTGCTGCTGCTGCTGCTGCTGCTGCTGAGTCACCTGTTGCTGCTCCATGTTGTCCCCCTTGCACTGCAGCCCCGTTTGCAGGCGTTGCTGCTGCAGGAGCAGCCGACGACTCTGCGGTGGGAATGAGCGCAGCCCGCACAGAAGCAGCAGCAGCACCCGCACCCGCAGCCCCAGCAGTACCATTAGCCGCGCCTGGCAGTGCTGCTATGGCTGCGGCAGTCAAGGCTGCGTCAGCACATTCAGTGGTGAGCTCAGAGCTGAGGTCCGCCAGGGCTTTCAGTGCTGCCACTGCCGTCTCCACCTCCACCTTGGCCACCTGCCGTGACAGCGTCGGGGAGATAGGCGGGGGACGGGGGGGACGGGGGGGAAAGGGTAGGGGGAAGTGGGAGAGTAAAAGGCGGAAGGGGAAGTGAGGATGAGTTGCGAGACTTTTAGAAACCCATCGCCAACTGCTCCTTCGCAACCTGCTCTCATGGGGCTGGTGCAGGGGGAAGGGGGAATGAGGGTGAGGAGGACCGGAGACATAGAGGAAAGGCAGGATAAGGACGAGAGGAGTAAGTGGGGGATGAGAGGGGGGGTGGGATGAGCCAGGACGGAAATACAAAAGAGAAGAAAAGATTGCTGAGGTTGGCAGGGGATAGACACAGAAAGAAGATGTAGCTACGGCAATTCTCAAAATTGTACCAACGCACACACCCAGCCTCGTCACACATGCTCCTAACCCCAACTACCTAAGAAAGCCTTCAACCATCCCCATCCCAATCACCTCGAGTCCAACACACTGCCCCTCACCACACCCATCACACACCACCAACCAACCCCGGTTCCTCTCCACCCCCAGACCTCTCTCTTCCCCTCCTTTTCCCCCTTCCCCCTCCCCCTTCCCCCTCCCCCTTCCCCCTCCCCCTTCCCCCTCCCCCTTCCCCCTCCCCCTTCCCCCTCCCCTTCCCCTAACTCTCCCCCCTGCATGCGCGCGCGCTCACCTCCAGCTCCAGTTTCGTCACTGCCGCCTCCTCCTTGAATGCCTTTGGGGCCCCAGCCTGCGCCGCCGCTGCCGCCGCCTCCGCCGCGGCGGACACGAGCCCGTTGGCGCGCGCGTACTCGCGCAGCGCGGCGATCTCCTGCGCGCCCTCCACCAGCTCCCCCTGCACGCGCTGCAGCTGCGCCTCGCGCTGCTGCCAGCGCTGCTGCAGCGCGGAGAGCGCCACGTCGCGGTCCGCGAGCGCGAGGCGCGCCACCTCGAGCTCCACCTCCTTCTCGCGCAGACACTCGCGAACCGCGTCCAGCTCCGCAAGTAGGCGCTGCCCCGCCATCGACTCGCGCGCCTCCTTGTCCTGCGCGCGGGCGCGGGGAGGGGGAGGGCGAGGGGGATGGGGAGCGGGAGCGGAAAGGGGAGGGAAGGGGGAAGGAGCGGGATATGGGGGGAGCAAGGAACAGGGAGAGAGTGCGGGGAAGAGGGGAAAAGAGGAGGGAAGAGAGTGGGGGAAAGCGGAAGGAGGGCAGATGTGAGGAGGGCAGATGAGAGGAGGGCAGATGAGAGGAGGGCAGATGAGAGGAGGGCAGATGAGAGGAGGGCAGATGAGAGGAGGGCAGATGAGAGGAGGGCAGATGAGAGGAGGGCAGATGAGAGGAGGGCAGATGAGAGGAGGGCAGATGAGAGGAGGGCAGATGAGAGGAGGGCAGATGAGAGGAGGGCAGATGAGAGGAGGGCATATGAGAGGAGGGCAGATGAGAGGAGGGCAGATGAAAGGAGGGCAGATGAGAGGAGGGCAGATGAGAGGGGGGCAGATGAGAGGAGGGCAGATGAGAGGAGGGGGAAGTGCTAAAGCGTGGAACCACACGAAAGGAGAGATCGGTGCAAGCGGCGACAGAATGTACGGGCGGCAGGTTGCGAGCGACGAGGTAGAGAGGCTGATAGGGAGGAAGAAAGAAAAGCCAGTGGAAACTACGAAAAAAAACCCCACCACTGTCCGTCCCGTCCCACCCTCCAAACTCTCCACCCACTCCCACACCCCTCCCTTGCCCGTCTCTTCCTCTTCCCCCAATTCCCTTGCTTTCCCCCGTCCCATCCCCCTCACCCTCCCCCCTCGCCCTCACCCTCCCGCTCCCCCGCTCTCCTCTGCCCCCTCGTCCGCGCGCACACCTGCATGGTCTGCAGCTGCACCTCGCGCTCCAGCAGGACGCGGTTCGTCGCGAACAGCTCGTAGTTCGCCTGCGCCAGCACGGACCCCTCCGTCACCACCGGCACCGCCGCGCCGCCCGTCGCCGTCTCTACCAGCAGCCGCGACAGCCCCGCAATCTGCTCCACAACAGTCTCCGCCTCGCTCAGCTTGATCCGCGATTTCTGGAGATCCGATCCAATGGCCTCTAGCGCCTCCTCGCGCTCGCGGAGCTTCTCCGCCACCGCGGAGACCTCCGCCTCCCGCTCCGCCAGGACCTTCCGCGACAGCAGCAGCTCGCGCCGGAGCGTCGCGACCGCGCGCCCGGACTCCTCGAGCTCTTGGGTCTTGGCGCGGGCGTCGGCTTGCGCCGCCGCGAGGTCGGACTGCGCGGCTTGAAGCTCGAGCCGCGCGGTGAGAAGCTCCGCCTCGCGGAGCTGCAGCGCCAGCTGCGCATCGGAGAGCGCCGCGCTCGTCTGGCGGACCTCCTTGCGCAGCGCGGAGATCTCCGCGGTGGCTTCCTCCGCGCGCTGGCGCTCAGCCAGGAGTTCCGCCTCCAGCTGCGTCACCGCGCGCGACTGCTCCGTCAGCTTCGTCTCCGCGGCAGCGAAAGCGGCGCGCGCAGACTGCAGCTCCGCGCGATCCTTGGCCGCTTCTTTCTGCACCCGCGCAAGCTCATCCTCGCGCTTCCGTAGGAGCGCCACGAGCCGCCCCGCCTCTTCCTCCTTCGCCTCCAGCTCCGTCTCCTGGTCCGCGACCTCGTCGCGGAACCGCCGCACCGCGGCGCGGGACGCCGCGAGTTCCGCCTCCGCGTCGCGCAGGAGAACCGTTGCCCTGTCGAGCTCCAGCGACGCGGAAGATCCAGCGGAGGTGACTCGGCGCAGCTGCTGGCGCAAGAGCTGCAGTTCCCCTTGCGCCGCGTGCAGCGCAACCGCGCGCGTGGAAAGATCTTCCTCGGTGGCGGAAAGCTTGCGCTTCTTCCCCTCAAGGTCCGCATCTACCGCTGAAAGCTCCGCCCGCTGCTGCTGCAACAGCTCGCGCAGCGACGCTACCTCATTGCGCCGCTTTTCCGCCTCCGCCTCTACCTCCGCCAGCTCCGCTTGGTGGGCGGCAATCGCCGCGCCAACGCTGTCCACGGCTTCCCCCTGCTTGGCTGCTTCCGCGCGCACTCTCCGCACCTCGTCCTCCTTCCCCGCCAGCTGATCGCGCACACGCGCGAGTTCCTTCTCCCTCTCCCGCAGCAGCCCAACAGTCCGCTCGAGCTCCTCCCGCTGGGTCCCCAGCTGTCCGCGCGCGCGGGCGAGCTCGCTGCGCTTCCCCGCTTGCGCCATGCGCACCGCCTCGAACTCCCGCTCGCGTTGGATCAGCGCGGAGCGCGCAACCTGCACCTCGCGCTCCTCCTCTCTTAGAATCTCCTCGGCTTTCATCAAATCCTTCTCCTTGCGCCGTAGCGACTCGAGCACGCCCACCACGTCAGCCTCCAGCTGCCCTACCGTCTCCTCCAATTCCGCCTCCTCCGCGAAATCCGGACTATCCGTCCGATCCTCGTACCGCTGCGCTTGCGCGAACAGGCGCTCTAGAACTGCGCGGGTGGCCTCCCCCACGCTCTGCCACTGCGTCGGCGGGTCGTTCTGCTGCGGCTGCGCGCGGGAATGCGCCGACGGCAGCTGCCCCCAGTTCCCCGCGCCGTTGTTGCCGGAAT